CTTACTCTTGAAAGTTATACTTATATTAACAGGTATTCTCTTTGGCGATTGCACTTTTCTTTTAAAAAAAGTGATGTTTTTAATAAAAACAACATAATTCCCGTTTTGAAACCCGTGTTTGCATTTCTGAATTTTCCGGGCTGTTAAACAAACTGATTAAGAATTTAATTTTTTTGCCAAGTCATACACACGAAATAAATTATACATTACATTAGAAGACAAATCAACTTCAAACTCTTAGACAGAATGGAGTACATCACGCAGTAATTAATATGTACCGAATGAAAAAAATGCCTTTTTTCAATCGGGGGTGAAGCAATCTGCGGGATGAAGTTTTTTAAAATGTATTTCTTCTTGCTCGCCGATACAGCCTTTCAACGCATTTAAAATCAATGAGTAGTCTGTCACTTTATTGGTTAGCCCAGCTGTTAGATATGCGTTGTTTGTAAATCGAAATTGATTGTTTATTAAAATGAATTCATTTTAGATTGGAGAAACGAAAGGAAAATATTATGCAAAGTAGAGGATAGTGTTACATTTTATTTGGTTTGGTTTTAGCATTAGATAATCTTGATTTTATGCCTGTGCAGCCTATATATTTTTGAATGATTAATTATATGATACTTGGAAACAAATGTTGGCCGTTTTAAGAATTACTTTCTATTTTTAATATATTTTTGTAACATGGATTTTTTATTTACTGTGATGTTTTAATTGACAACGAACCAAAGAAAAATTGGAGTTGTTTTTAGAAAGTTTACTACTGGATTACATCTGGTTTGTTGTGCTAGGAGCTGCTCCTTCTGAGTTTGGACACTCGTATATTACGGTGGGAAGGGTGATGAAGGATGAAATTAGATTGTGAACTTTCCATATTAGGTGTTCTCGTATTCAAACAAAAGTAAAACTTTATAATGAATGCTTACTTTTACAAAAAATGAAAATATTCGAATAAGCTTTTTGAAATATTTTCAGAGTTATGAATCTCTAGCAATAACCAACTGACGGCATTAAATTTATATATAAATATATCCTTAATACGGAATAAACATATGATACAAAAGTACGGTGACCGCGAGATATTCTCATGCTCTGCACAAGTTAAACATTTGTCAGAAATATTGGCTAGAGACACACTGCCGTGGGATTTTACGGTGAAAGCGCTGAAAGTTCGTGTCTCGCGTACAGGGCTGCTATAGTAATGCGCTTCCAGCCAAAACACGCACAAAACTCCGCTCTTGTCAAGTTATCTTTACGCAGACAACACCAATGTTTACTTTCTGCCAAAAATTATAAATTGGCGAAGCTCGAAGCCTAGAGAGCGTTAATGTTAAGAATTTTTATCAACAAAGCTAAGATGTATTCGCGGAGTTCATGGTAAGAAAATCCGATGAATACTGCATTCAATTGTGCCTTGTGATGGTGCACTGGCACGTATTCCTGTTTAGTATCACTGTAAATATATGTGCACATTGACAGCGTATGCGACTGGAAGCACCAATCGAGTGCAGTCCTCTCGCGGTCTCGTTTTAAACGTATATCGGGTGGTAGCAAGTTTTCCAAATCAACTCATCAATTCGATCTCCAATTTTCAGACGTTCAACCCGGGTTTAAGGTACATTTGAATTGTAACTAGGCACGCATGTCAGACGATAGTGACATCTAATAAGATGATTAATATTGGTATAGATGGCGAGGAGATGTGTGTGATTTTGTACACAAAAATTGGGATACGTGAATCGATGCACGGCCGTAAATTTCTGACAGTCAGATTAGAAGCTTCTGAGAGAGAATTTACATCAGGTTGTGGCGTTGTTTTTTATTTTCAGTGCGTGAAAATCCAGTGAATTTTTTCCATTTTTCGTTCATTAATGCCGATTTTTAAGTCTATAGTTTGCTCGTACAACTATTCCAATTATTCTCATTTTTCTGAGTAAAATATTTGGATTTGATAATAAATACAAAATAGCTTTTTTATATCCAAATGTGCCATCAGCAATGAAATGCCTGCTTCATAGACCAGGTATACCGATTCCAGTTCGACTAACAGTATTATCACTGAAGATTGTCAGTTATTTCTTCGCTTCGAGACCAGAATATTATATTAACGACACGGGACAACAGGGAGAATTCATTACATTATCATTTTTATTATGTGAATGAGACCCCCTACTTCTAGAAATACACAGGAAAGTTACAATTCGAATCTAAAGAGTACACTCACACACCAAGCAGAAAAGCTAATAAATTGTACGCTAATTGTCCCACACAGAAAAATGGCTAATTACTTAACATATTAAAGTAGAAACAATGAAACAATTAAAGAAAGTCTTGGACAAAACTGACCCATGTTTTCAATAAACTATGTTCAAAAAATGTTTTTACTATAAGAAACAAAAGAAAAATTAGGCTATTTTGATAGTCCACATATTCACTAATTCTTAAGAATGCTTGCTTTAAAAATAAAACAACTGGCGTAGAACTGTAACCCTGGAACTCAGGGAAGTTATCGATAATGTTCTGGCGTTGGTGCTTACAAACATATTGTCAAAAACTTTCGAATAGTTCATAATCCTTTCATGTTTAATGTAATAATAGAAACAAATTTGCTTCTACTTTATCAGTTAATCGCAATGTTTTATTAGGAGAGCAGAAAGATTTGATAACCACTGGCGTTATAGTTTCGTAAGTCACGAGACTGATAAAGAGAAAGTAATCAATCGTCATCGATTTTCATGGCAGTGTGTCTTTGAGTTCTTTTTGTAACACCACCTTTTTCCAAGAAAAAATCATATAAAAATAAATACATTTGATTTGAATACAAAGTCTTATTTACAATCTTTAAGTACAACCCATTTGTTTAGATATTTCTTTCTGATCGGTGGTTAGAAAAAACATTGGAGTCGGCCATTTACAGTGGCTCTTCGTTCCTCTGTTTATGTCCATTTCGTATGCTCTTAGTTCACGCGATTTTTGTCACACAAGGTTTACGACACAGTTTGTTCCAATGTGTACATCCACTCGTTTTTGTACAGCTGGAAATGGTCTTTACCAAATTTTCCTGTCTGCATGTATGGCTTTGTCACTCACATGCCAAAATCAAACTCCTACAGAAAACATCCCATGATTTATGACTCAGTCATATAAAATGTTTTTAAAAACTTGTGTGAGTCTCTAGAAGGGGGTTAATTAAAATACACAAGTTATTATGTACAATACTGATTCAATTTTATTATATTTTATTACCGTCAGATCTCTCGGTAGGATTTATAACTAAAACGGAGGTTCCATTTAACAATCTTACAAAAAAGTAATAAGTTGCTGGCGAATTGTTATGACTTACAACTACGCCAAAAATTGTGAAGAAAATGTTCTTAAAATGTTTTTAAAATGCCTTAAAAACAAAGAAAAATGACGCAAAAGTGTGCCAAAAGCAGTTCAGATGAAAAACTCAAGCTGTTGAATATATTACTGATGTAATCGAGGATTTTTCCTTTTGTTCAAGTGAACTCAGCATGCAAACTTTTTGTTTGAAGCATTCGTTATTACGAAATCTGCCTTTAATTATACCAAAATCGGCCTAACTGATAATAACTCTCGTAAGAGTCACAAAAGCGTTATATCACAAACTCACACCGACTCACATTTCAATTTCTGAGCACAAAAAGCGATATACTAAGTGATTCTAAGGAAAATATTTGTTGCATGTCGCAAATACTATTTGCAGGAAGTACCATTATAATTAAACGATATTAATAGCGATTTAAAATCGATGAAATTAGCGAAAAAGGCTTTAAAAGGTACCGAAAAAGGGGGAAATGACTTAGTAGACAACGATGCAAACGCAGAAAAAAAAGCCGAATAAAAATGGGTCATTTTCTTTTTTCACAATAAAATTAATGTCTATACTAAAAGGCATTGCTCCAAAGTGAAAAAATGACGTTTCATTAAAATCCGGTCCTTAGTATTAAGTCTAAAAACGTAGTAGTAGTGTTGGTGGACTCACGTTGTGTGATGTTGCCGCGCTTCACGGTGGGGCAGACGCGCCACAGGCCGATCTTGAAGGTGATGGTGGTGGACTGGTCGCTGTTGGGCAGGCGCACGGGCTCCCACGTGAACAGCCACACGTTGGACACGAAGGCCGTGAGCAGCGTGGCGAGCGCCGCCAACCCCCACAGGATGCTCAGCCGCGAGAGGGCGGCGCTGCTGCGAGCGTAGCACATGGCGCCTCGCGCTCGCGCTCACGCTCACGCTCGCGCTCACGATCACCAACTCGCCGATCACGTGACGACACGCCGCTCGCACGGCGGCGACATCGCTCACGGCACGGATTCGAGTGAAGATATCCACTGGGCATCCACTTCCACGGTACTGTAGGCTTGCGTTGGCCCTCCTGGGCTTCTTCCACAGAAATAATCACTTCCTTGAAGACGATGTCACTGTTTCCTGCGTTTGGTGGCACTATTGGGTTTCAGGGCATCCACAGACTACCTCTACATCGGTTCGCACTAACCACGGTCACTCATTTATTTCTTTTCCTGTGGAATACTACCCTTGTTATTCTCTACCTTGGAATGGGGTTTCACAGACTTTATATCACGGTATATCAAAATTTCAGTTTTCGTGCACTTAGTAAATATTTGGTTACTGGTACCACTCAACACAAACACACAGAGAGATGAGGAAAATACATTTTACTAGTAAGAATGAATCTCAACATGGTTGAGACATAAATTCAATGTCGGTAGCAATTTCAGGATGAAAATCGTGTTTCGTTGTTGTCACTATTAAAGCGTTATATAACAAATCACGTGATCTTCAAAAGAAAATTATATCGATAGACCACAAACGCATCACATCAATCAACATTCCATCCAAAGACAGTCCATGAGTTACACACAGAGTAATAAATACAGCTTGTATAACACGAAAATGATAAGCAATTAGTTTAGGAAAAAGTATATGATAAATATTCACTTTTTCCTTTCAGTAATAACTATCTAACCAACACAAGTACTCACAAGATTTAAACACACTAAATCACACTGCAAAAAACCGAACTGTTGAAGACGTTCCAAAAAGTTACCTACCACATCCTCTCTTATCTTTAGGCCAATGATTCTCGATTCTCGAGGGCGCCTGATCCACTACAACTGAGCATTCGATGCTAATATTTAGAATAACAGCTGCGTCGCTACACTACAACTTGAGATAAGGGACACTTTTTTTTAGCTTGGAGTCGCAGGGCTCCACGTGGCCGCCGTGGGCTGCTTCGGATATGTGAGTTGTACTCGTGGGCGCTGGCGGCAGGGCTGCCAGCCAAGGGCTTGCGAAGGGCTGGCTAGAGGGCGCCGGGCCCCGGGGTGCACATGGCGCGCGGAGGGCGGCTAGGGCGGCGCGGCGGGGCGGGCGAGGGGCGACGGGCGCGGGCGGCGCGGGCGGCGCGGGCGACGCGGGGCGGGCGGGGCGCCTTCGCTCCGGGGCAGGGCCATGGCGCCGCCACGAAGGTCCGAGATCCTGCGGGCGCCACGACAGCCGACGACCTGCGGGGCTGCACCTGCGAACACAGAAAAAAGGGCGCGGTGAGCGTATTGGGCCAATACCTCTTCATCTGGGAAATAACGCGAGTCCCGGCGGTGGCATGATTTTCGGCACTAGCTAGATAACTAGGCGGAATTCAGTTGCTGGTTGAGGGAGACCTCTAGCCACCAGCTGATCTCATCGATAGTATTCCGTGCTTTTTTCCTATTATCACCGGGCAGTACTCTTACAAACGGTTCACAAACCGCGCGCCATATTTTTCCTCATCCTCGTCCTATACTCATTCATTTCTTTCACTCACACCCACTTACACGCACCACGCATGCCAAAAGATCCGTCGAGAGCTTAGAGCTGGTCCCGGTTGGGGTAATGACACGCTGGTGAAAGATACCTTGTTGAGAGATAACCTCACAAGCAGACGTGAAAGTCAGCGCCGAATCTCACCATTTAGCGGGAGGTCATCGCTACCTCCCGCAATAAAACAAGCACTAGGCTTTCGGGACTAATGACCTTAGCATGACACGCACAGGAAAACACTAAACAATCAATTAATTGAAAAAATAATTCAAAAAAATAAGGTCTGCTCTGCTAAGTCGAATATGAAAATTCGCTCTGACAACGCAGTTCTAGTCCAATGGAAACTTTCAAAACAACAATTACATCTGTTGTGGTAAGAAAATAGAAAATCAAGTTGCAGAAGTTCACATTAATTTTCAGACACTGCTATTGTTTCAAAGACAAATAAATATTTAGTATTGAAAGAAAATATCTGCTATCCAAAGTGTAGGAAATATGTTCAATCATAAATTCAAAATGTTGTTCACTCTCCTTTAAGAAAAATATCAGGAATATTCTAATGAAATGCGTAGTACATGAATGAATGTTCAATAATGTCCAGGCACTGAACAAAACTTTCATAAATATGGTAGATTCTGAAAGTGAAAACTCTAATTTCTATCAACACAAATGAAATCAATTATAGTTCGCGGGACATGAAACGACACTTCGTTAATTAAAAGCTGTAATTAACTGCACTATTTATATGCAGGTCGAATAGAGCGTTGCGATAGCAGAATTTAAACGCTGTTCCCACGTTTGATATTCACATTCATGTGAAACGCAAACGTCAATACTTGCTCCATCATAACATCACTACCGGACTAATGGTGAACAAAACGACTCAATGCAAGAAGTATACAGCAATAAAAATAATAATTAATTGAAAAACATTTCGTGCAATTACTAGGAAAATTCGTTGATCCTTCTTGAGTATAACACTAGGATTTTTAAAAAATGTGTACGGAGGGGAGGAATATGTAGAGTAATATACGTAGAAGAGGAAACTTTATGTAATGCTGAGGAAATTTGATTTCGAGTTTTCAATTGAAATACATATTTGGGGGTCCCCTGATACCGAAAAAGTGCCGAATGTGCGTCTATCCGTCTGTGAACACCACTAGCCATACGTACGATATTTTTCAAAATGTGTAATCCCTGGTCGATCTCGCTCCACTCGAGGTGCCGCGATTATGAAAAACGTTCTTCAAAATTTGGGCGTACTTAATATGAAACCCGACGGACCTTTTTAAGTTTTTATCAAAAATCTCCAAATATTTCTTTTAAATTTCTTGTAAGAATCGAGTAAAATGCACTTATCAAGATGGCATATGAGCCATTTTAATGGCTATCTCATGTTTTTTGAAAATGGCAAAAGTTTAAATTTTTCCGCATCTTACCACAAGTACAAAATTGAACAGAGAAATTATTTCTTCATATGAAATTTGTTGGTCATAGTGAGTTCTTTCATTAAGGTTATGTACAATTCTTTCGAAAATTTTAGTAGTTGCGAGCAATATTGCGTGCAATATTTGAAACTTAAAAAATTCAAAAAAAAAAATTATTTTCAAAAACGGCTCCACTTTTTCTTGAAACTTTTGGTAGGGTATTGGTAAATGGCCTCTATAAGATGACATAAACATCATTTTGTTCTATTCTTTTCATTTTTAAATCACAAAAATTTAATTTTGTTGACTTGTCTTTCAAGTAATATTTACATTAGAGGCGATTTTTTAACATTCTTATATTGACGTGTACATGTACTTTAAATAATGTCAGATAAAGTTTCACGAAAAATTGAGTTTTCTGTGAAAACTAAACCAAAATTCCGCATATTGAGAAAATCTTAAACGCCATTTTCTCAAAAATAGTCCCTATTATTTTCATCAAACATTTCGAAATTTATAATGCTGATTTCACTTCATATGACGTAAAGTTAATTTCGGGAGATTTTTTTATTTTAAAAATTACATGAATGTAATTTATTTAAGATGTCTTACACCGTTAATATTTACATTTCCAGCCATTTGTAAACACTATTGTATATGTGAGTTAAGCACCTTTTCTTAAAAAACGCTCCAAATTTTTTTAAAGAATATTGCTATTTAGGGCGAAGTTTTACCGTTCTTTAATTTTCTTAAAATAATATTTCCGTTACTACTAGAAAACCGAACAATTAAGAAAAATTTTAAAAAATGTACTTTGGGCGGCAACAGATTGCAGCGGGCAAGAATGTGTGGCATGTTCCTACAGCAAGCCGAGACCATAGGAAAACTAATACAGGAAAGTTTGTGCCATTCTGTAGCACCACTAGTTCAAATTATGTTACTTGCCTAACAGATCCCAAGCAATTTTTGTATTAAACGCGAGAAGTACCCCTTGAACAACGTAAATTAGACATACGCCATCAGTCATTGCCTTTTATCCCTACCGGCCAGAGGCTCGCCGCCAATAGTATCCCGAGTTTCTAGGCGGTCACACATTCAGGAACACGTGGTGTCTCGAGCTACTTAACTTCTGTTACTTCACGGAGCTTGATTAAAAAGCACGGTTACCGGCGTAGACATTCTGTACCCACATTGTAAAGGACGAATTTGGGACCAAAATGTGAAGAAACGTTTGAATATACCTTTGAAAGACGAAAAATATAAATTCGAACTTCCTTATAAACGCGTAAAAATGCGTTCAAAATAGATGAAAAGGACAAAACGTGCCCGAAAGTACCCAAGTCGATTTCTAGAAAAGGGTCTCTCCCCCCCCACACACACACACACATACACAAAATGGAAAATACAAAGTTAATGTGAAAATAGTAAACGTAGCAAGCCAAAATTTGAAAGAGTCAATCTTTGAATTGTTTCATCCCCTTGCTCACAGCCTGCTGAGAATAAATAAAAACATATTTTTCTTTAAATAACATGTATTTTCAGTGGAGTGTTTTTCTACCTATTAATAAAATAATATTGATAAAATATTTATATATTTTGTTTTTATATCCTTTAATTTTTTTAAATATATTTTCATAATTTCTTCTTCTTTAATTTACGAAAAAGAATAATATTGTTTGTTTCATTTTCCGCCATATAAACGTCTCTCCCTCGCACACACGTTTACAGCGCTTGGCGTACCTATGGAGGGATGATTGCGAAACAACGTAGTCTGCAACGCGGCCTAGCGAAAGAGCTTTACAGCAGCGGTAACAACCCGGAATTTACAAGTCGTCATTGCTGCGCCATCCACACGCCCGTACCGGTCGTCACCCCTGACCACAATCGCGAGGTCGTCCTACGTCGTCCTACATCGTCCCACCCTTCCACACCGCCCAAACACGCTCCCCTTTACATAGACTACACCACAAATACGATCACACCACTCACTTCGGCAACATGAACGATGTGGTTCTTTGACACTGTAGGCGGAGTTGAAACTTTGGTCTACGGGACCTGTTTGAAGGTGTGAACAGAGTCGATACACTGCCCGATAGGCCCGCACCACCCGCTCTACCCTTTACATCATCATCGCAGACATCGCCTTTGTCACCCACGCCGTCTACACCGCCCACATTGTCAACTCTGTTCACACCTTCAAAGAGGTCCCGTAGACAACAGTTCCAACGCTATCTACAGCGTCAAAGAACCACATCGTTAATATTGCCGATAATTTTCATAGAGACCACTTCGCCCAAATCACCACCATTCTACTTCAATTTACACTACACTAAATCACTACCAATTTTTCGATATTCTTTTCTGTGAATCTACATAACAAAATAACACAAGTTATTTAGTCGTCTACAGAGAAAATTATCGTTAGAAACTAAATATTGAATTTAAATAGCTCAGGAATCCTCTTCGAATGTACGTAAAATCAAAATGAGTTCCGGAATGGATGCGAGTGAAAGTGGGTAAACGTCACAGTGAAAGTGTGCGTGGCTGTAAATGCAACTAGAAAAAGGAAAGGAAGAGACAGGTCAGACAAAATGCTGGAGGGAAAGGTTGAGAGTACGCCAGCGAAAACAAAGAAGTGAGAGCTAAAGAAATAGAGTGAAAGTGAGAGTTAATGAACAACTGGAAGTAATTTCTGGAATTGTCATGTGTTACAGCTTATCTTGTCGTTCTAGTTATTTGCCTCCAACATTCTCGAGGCTGCCTCCACTTAGACCCCTTCA